GGGGGCGCCAGGGTGGCTCACTCAGTTAAGCATCCGACTTCGGCTCAGGTCATGATCTCAACGGTTTGTGGGTTCGAGCCCCATGTTGGGCTCTGTGCTGATAACTCAGAGTCTGGAGCCTGCTCCGGATACTGTGGCTCCCTCTCTCTCTGCCCCTCTCCTGCTTACACTCTGTCTCTCTCTCTAAAGAATAAATAAACATTAAATTTTTTTAAAAAAATAATAAAAATTAAGAAAAAAAGTAATTGCCAAACTATTTTCCAGGATGGCTATACCATTTCACATTCCCACTGGCAAAGTGCGAGAGATACAGTTTCTCTGCATATTCACTAGCATTTGATACTGTCACTATTTTTAAATTTAGATTCTAACATAATTCTAAAAATAGTGATGTTTTGGGGCACTTGGGTGGCTCAGTCAGTTAAGCGTCTGACTTCAGCTCAGGTCATGATCCCCGCATCGGGCTCTGTGTTGACAGCTAGCTCAGAGCCTGGAACCTGCCTCAGATTCTATACCTCTCTCTCTCTGTCTCTCTCTCAGAAATAAATAAAAACATTAAAAAAATGTTCTTTTAAATAATACAGGAGAGGCTGCCACTGGCTGTCCTCAAATATCCTTTCTCCTCCTTCCTCTTTACTAACAAAACCCTAATTATTAGGTGAAGCAACGTGCTCCAGCAATAAATAAATAAATAAATAAATAAATAAATAAAACAAAACAAAAACACACTTCCCAGCCTTCCTTGCAACCTGAGAATAAGACAAATTGAAAGCTCTCAAGTGTCATATAAATGGCATTAATGTCTATGTCATCAGGTTTGTGCAAGCATTTAAATGAGTTTATGTAAATGCTTCATGCAGCACTGAGGTCTGTCAATGTTAGTTGTTTGATGATATTATTATTGTTAGGATATATTCTGTTGTTAATTTTCAAAACTTAAATTCTTTGAGGGACACCTGGGGGGCTCAAGCAGTTAAGCATCAGATTCTTGGTTTCAGCTCGGGTTATCATCTCATGGTTCATGAGTTTGAGCCCTGCATCGGGCTCCACATTGACAGTACAGAGCCTGCTTGAGATTCTCTTTCTCTCTGCCTTTCTCTTTCTCATTCTCTCTCTCTCTGTCTCTTTCTCTCAAAATAAATAAATAAACTTTAGATTTTTTTTTAAACTTTAATTCTTTGAGATAAATTTGAGAGTGTCAGAATAAAGACAAAAGAATTTCTTTTGTATGCAGATCTTCTTGTTACAGGATCCACGATTAAAAATTGGAATAGTGGGTGGGGTGCCTGGGTGGCTCAGTAGGTTGGGTATCCAACTTTGGCTCAGGTCATGATCTCACGGTTTGTGAGTTCGAGCCCTGCATACAGTTTCCTGCTGACAGCTCGGAGCTTGAAACCTGCTTCCGATTCTGTGTCTCCATCTCTCTCTGCCCTCCACCCGCTCGTGCTCTGTCTCTCAGTCTCTCAGAAATAAATGTTAAAATTTTTTAAATTGCAATAGTGGGGCGCCTGGATGGCTCAGTTGGTTAAGTGTCTGACCTTGCTTCAGGTCCTGATCTCGCAGTTCATGAGTTCAAGCCCTATGTCAGGCTCTGTGCTCACAGCTCAGAGCCTGGAGCCTGCTTTGGAGTCTGTGTCTCCCTCTCTCTGCTCCTTCCCTGTGTGCACTCTGTCTCTCTCAAAGATAAATAAACATTACATTTTTTAAAAAAAGAATTGTTAAAAAAAGTTAATAGTTATCTTAAGCGAAGCATGAAAGCTAACAAACTATGGCTGTAGCTCTATTACTCAACTTTTCTGAGTGCAGGCTTTCTCATCTAAAAGACTATAAATAGAAGTAAAAATTATTTGAAAAATATAAAACATAGTCCAGTACCATCATCAAAACATTTTACCCATGAATACTGTCTACATGTACAGCTCAAAACTGCACAATGTTGCCACCATCTCTCATTGGAATACTGAATGTGAAGCAAACCAATCTTGCAAAGTCTTATAATGAGTATATAAAAAATAGGATTCTAAGGAATACACACTTTATCTCTCAATGTATGGTACTTGAATGCCGACTTAGGGGAGGCTTTTATTTTCCTAAGAACAAAAATGGTCATTATGCTGAAGAAGTGTTCCAAGTACAGGGTGAAGAAGTGCACGCCTCAAACTAGGATTATAGAGTATTTTATAATTCTGGTTTTGGAAAAACTGTAAGCACTAACCCTTCCTTCCCCTAATTATTTTTCCTGTGTTTAGCATAAAACAACTCCTCAAAAGAACATTTGCAAATTGCTATCAGAGTTTGATGCAGTATGTTTATTTGAGAATGTGGAAAAGGGACAGAATAGTTCCTCCGGACTATCTCCTATCCCTACTAATTCTTTCTTACCCTCTTCCCTTTCAACATGCCGCTTCCTTTCTCTAGAACTAACAACCGTTTTCTTCCTCGACTGACTATTGCTTCTTTTTCACACTGTATCACTTCTGACCCCCTCCTTTCAGCGCTGGCCTGAAACCTCATCTGCCTCCTGCGTTAGCATCCTACCTGCTGTCATAGAGTCCTGAGTGGACCGTCTCAGAGTCCCAAGGCCAAGTATATCACCCTTCAGGAGAGGGTAAACACCCTCCCTCCCCACCCCCAACAAGGAGTACACTTTGTAAATTGTATCGTTTTCTTAAAAGCAGGAAGATTTAGAAAAAAAAGATGAATTTCCTTACACACTATGCGCCCCCTCACACATAGTGCTTACTAGCTCCCTCTATCTCTCGGACACACACATACACAATCAGATGCTTGCACATGCCAGAGATGTAGACAAACTGTCACACTCAGTCACAGAGTATGAGGCTGTCATCGCTACATATAATCACCAAATCTATCAAAACAGAAACATATCTGAGGAGGCAAATTTGAAGCCAACAACTCTAAATCAGCTTCTTGTCATTCCTCCAGCATCCCCTAAACCCCATGGAAATGATTAGACTCTTCCTGTGGACTAGAAACCAGAGATAGGAAGGGTTTAATACTGATTGCTATGGAAATCATAAAATATGAGCTAAAGGTAAAGCCAGCCCAAAGACTGAGCTGTGAGTTTTCAACTGAAAGCAAGTTGCTAAGAATATATACTCCAACAAACCCTGAGCCCAAAAATAGCCCTTGTATTTACCAAATGATCGTCTCAGTTTACATCTCATCCCTTCCAGCAGCATAAAATAAAATATATGCAATCAAATAAATATTCACATCCCCAAAGGAAGGGTGGTTTGGTTAAATACAATGCTTAATGCAGTTGTAAACATTCAAGAAACTTTACATTCAACTGTGAAAGTGAATTTTCCAATGCTAAACCGTTAAACTGTCATTTCCCATGCTGAATGAGTCATAAATCAGCTAAGGAATGAATATTTCAAATGAGGACTTCCTTACAATGTCAACCAGTCAACAGTTCAACTTCAGCACTGATATTTTACTAGCAGTGTTTGTTTACATAACTATTTATATATTCTGGTATACGCTTTGCCTTTACAATTTCTTTTTAAAAATTATTAGATAGTGGGAAAAGAGCTAACTGGAGAAGACTGCTTACGTGTTCAATTTTGAAAAAAATAAATTGAGAAAACCTAACAAATCCTAGGAACACTTTGTTAACTATTATGTCTAAAAGGTAGAACATTAGCATTCTCTCTGGGGGGGAAAAATCTCATTAAATGTAACTCAATCGTTTAACTTTCTCATGTTTACTCTTCAAAGGTGATTTAGGAAATACATTAATAAGCAAGATCCAGGCTTACCTGTATCAGTAAATTTACTTGAAGAAATCCATTTATATTTCAAAACACAAAATTGAAAGTAGCTCGTAAAAAAGGATACTGTGGAACCCAGTCATTTTCAGCCTCCTCAACCAACCCTTTAGTTTTTATAACTATGTCATTTAACTCCAGGAAGAAACATATATTTAAGTTATTTAGAATGGCTTCCGAAAATCCCTTGGATTGATAACATTAAAAAATATGCCCCCCAGTAGACGTGAATAGACACTCTTCCAAAGAAGACATCCAGATGGCTAACAGACACATGAAAAGACATTCAACGTCACTCATTGTCAGGGAAATACAAATCAAAACCACACTGAGACACCACCTCACGCCGGTCAGAGTGGCTATAATGAACAAATCAGGAAACTACAGATGCTGGCGAGGATGTGGAGAAATGGGAACCCTCTTGCACTGTTGGTGGGAATGCAAACTGGTGCAGCCGCTCTGGAAAACAGTGTGGAGGTTCCTCAAAAAATGAACAATAGAACTCCCCTACAACCCAGCAATAGCACTGCTAGGAATGTACCCAAGGGATACAGGAGTGCTGAGGCGTAGGGGCACATGTACCCCAGTGTTTATAGCAGCGCTTCCAACAACAGCCAAATTATAGAAAGAGCGTAAATCTCCATCAACTGATGAATGGATAAAGAATATGTGGTTTATATATACAATGGGATACTACTTGGCAATGAGAAAAAAATGAAATCATGCCATTTGCAGCAATGTGGATGGAACTGGAAGGTATTATGCTGATTGAGATAAGTCAGTAAGAGGACAGATATCATATGTTTTCACTCATATGTGGATCGTGAGAAACTTAACAGAAGACCAGGGGGGAAGGAAAGGGGAAAAAATAGTTAGAGGGAGGGAGGCAAACAACAAGAGACTCTTAAATACAGAAAACAAACTGAGGGTGAACAGGGTCAGGGGTGAGGGGAGGGAGAATGGGAGATGGGCACTGAGGAGGGCACTTGTTGGGATGAACACTGGGTATTGTATGTAAGTCAATTTGACAATAAATTATATTTTAAAAAATATGCCCTCGTTTTAATGCACTTTTCATACAACTCCAGTAATAACACAAGTCTCAGTAATGGGCAGTAAAACCAACACAGCAAAACAACTGACATACTGAAAAAACATTTAGAAAACCAAGAGTCATCTGAGTGGTACCTTAGGCCTTGCTCTCACCAATGCTCTGCTCCTCCCCTGCTTGGATGTTGGATCTATGAACAAACCGGAAACAGGAACTTGGGCTGGATGTGGTCATCACCCTCAACCATCAGATACATGGTATTCCATATCAATCTCCTTTCTGCTACCTCCACCCAAAGCAGAGGCAAAGCTTCAATCAGAGTAAGAGGGACTAAGGACAATTTACAAAGGTCTTTGCCAAGTAAAGGGAAAACAAATTAGTTTGATAAAAGTTCTAAAGTCTTCCTGAGATGGACTCAAGCTGAAGTCTAACCTCGTGGCTGAAGTTATACTAATTTAAGTATACATTCTAGGAATCAGAATTATCCTGAAACTAAATTAGATCACACTGCTAATATGTGAAAGAGAATGATGGTCAATCTCTGTAATGCCACATTGGTAGATTTTTTTCTTCATTATGCATAGAAAGTTACATACTCCGCATTTTTTCCTCCTCTCTTCCCTCAATGAAAAATATTATTTCTGTACCTTCTCATAAATTTATTTCAGAAGGACTGATTATAAAGAATTACCGAATGTTTCAAGTGGAAAAAAAAATCTATTAAGACCTGCAGATTACTAAAATTACAACTGAAAAGTAATTCTCAGCAATAAAGGAAACCATTAAGTATACAAAGGGGCTTTTAATTTAATTTTAAATGACACTTTAAAGTCATTTCACTTTGTACACTGAACCAATCATTTTCGTTAACAAATAAATTCATTGCATCATTTAGCAGAACCATTAGGCAAACCTTAAAGTTTTCAGTAGTCTTATTTCCTTCTATCTTCAATTGTTTTTTGATTTAAGAAAGGAGGAATTGCTTTAAGTGATACCATCAAGGACAGGGAAAGACAACTTATAGAATGGGAGAAAATACTTGCAAGTCATATACACAGAATATGTAAAGAATTCTTACAATGCAATAAGGAAATAATTTACCTTTTAAAATGAGCAAAAGACTTAAATATGTATTTCACAAAAGAAGATATATGAATGGCCAATAAGCAGTAGGAAAGATATTTGATTGGGAAATCACTGGGGAAATGCAAATCAAAACCACATAGATACCACTTCACAACCACTAGATGGCTATAAATAAAAAAAAGATAGACAATAACAAGTGTTAGAGAGGATGTGGAGACACTGCAACCTTTACATATTGTTGGTTGCAACATAAAATGCTATAGACACTTGGAAAACAGCTTGGAAGTTTCTCAGAATGTTTAATATAAAGCTGGCATATGATCAAGTAATTCCACTCTTAGGGATATACCCAAGACAAATGAAAACGTGTTCAAACAAAAATGTGTACATGGATGTTCAGAGCAGCATTATTCGTGGTAGTGAAAAAGTGACAACAACCCCTATGTCCACCAATTGATGACTGGGTAAAATGTGATTTATCTTTAACAATGGAGTATTAGGTGGCAGTAAAAAGGAAGGATGCAAATTACAACATAGATGCACTTCAAAAACGTTAGGGTAAGAGAACTGAAGACAGTTACCAAAGACTACATATTGTGGGAGTCTGTTTACATGAAGTGTCCAGAACAGGTATATCTGCAGAGTAAATAAATTAGTAATTAACTGCCTAGAGGTAAGAGTAGGCACTGGGGAGTGGGGGTGGGGTGGGGGGACTGCTAAGGTTTTTATTTTATGGTGATGAAAATGTTCTAATATTACATCAGGGTGATGACTGCAAAACTCTGTAAATACACTAAAAAGCAGTGAATTGCACACTTTCCATGGGGGACTTATGGTATCTAAAGAACATCTCAATAAAGCTGTTAAGAAAAGAGAAGAGGATGCAGTAATGCATTTTATTTCTTGGTGCCTCTCAAGACTGAATCATAAGACTACTTAGATGTCTTATCACCTAAAAACACTGTTTCCATGTTTCAATCTAATACCAAACAAGACAGAGAGTCACGGAGGGAACTGAGTATCATTGAGAGTCCTGGACAGTCCCAGGAAAACACGTGCATTCTCAGGAATACGTGGGTACCAAAACACGTCCACAGAACAGAAGTCTGTGCAACGGCCTTAACAAACAATGAACAGACATTTCCCCAGCGGAACTCAGGATTCAATGAAAGCTGGTCAAACAGCAGCGTTTCACAGGTGCACAAGAATCCCGAGCTGATGGATCTTAGGGTCTGGCGCTCGCATAATCAACAGGGATCTCAAAGCTTGGTCCGTAATCAGCAAATGAAGAGAGGCGAAAGGACTCCAGGGCCAGCTCCCCACGCATGCCACCCCGTCAGGCACCCCAACCTGCGGCTCTCGGTCGGAGTCAGAGGTCGGAGCGCCCCAGCTCAGGCGGCCAGCGCGCTCGCCTCGCCTCCCTGCGCTAGTCAGCCGCTCGGCGGCGCACACAGGGGCAAGGACGGGGCCGCAGAAGCGCGCGGGTCCCAGGCACAGGTGCCCGGCTCGTGCGAGTAGCGGAGGAAATTGAGTGCGCCGACACGCAGCCACCCGCCGGCGCAGGGACTCTATTTTGCAGCTGTCTCGCGCAGCGCACGCCACCACGCGAACGTCCCCGGGGATCCAGGCCGCAGGGCCGCCAACGTCCCCCGGGGTCCCCGCGCCCAGGCCCGCGCTCCCCCGCGCCACCGAGGCCGCCGGCTCCTACCTTCCTCCTGCACCATCTCCAGGACGTCCGGGTCGCCCATCTTCGCCAGCTCGTTAATCACACTGACCGAAGTGTGGCACACCGAGGACCACTGCGACGGGCGGCGGGGTCTGGGGAAGAGGCTGAATCGGATCGTGGGCCGCCGTCTCTGCTGCTCTGACACCAACAAGGTACAGGCTTTGCGTGTCTCCCCCTTGAGGACGGCGTTCTTCTCGGTCTCCGCCGGCTTCGAGTCCTTCGGCAAGTTGGGCTTCTTCTCCAGCGGGTTCTTGTTCCCGACCGGCTTGGTGCCCTTGGCCCTGCGCTTCTCCTCCCTCTCGCGGTGGCGTCTCTGGGAGCCCTCCCAGGACGCTTCCCGGAGCGTGCGGGACTCGGAGGCGCGCAGGGCCTCCGCCTCCTCCCCGGCCCGCCCCTCCCCGTAGCTCAGGTCCTTCTCTCCCCGCCCCTCTCCGCCCCTCCCGCCCCCAGGACCCGCCGCCGCCCTGCCTTCGGGGTCCGCCCTTTCGCGGCCCGCCTGCCCCTCTCCCCCGCGGCCGCCGGAGTCCGCGGGACCTGGCTCGGCCGCCGCCTCGGGGCCCGCCGCCTCCCGGCCCTCCTGGCCGCCCGGCCCCGCCAACAGGCCCTGCCGGCCCCATTCCCCCCGGTCGTCCCAAGCCCGAGACGGCTGCCCTTCCCCAGCTGCCCCCTCCCCTCTCCCCAAACCCTCCTCCTGCGATCCCCGCCGAGCGGCCGGGTCCTCTTCCATCTGCCCAGCCCTCCGCCTTCCGCGTGGGAAGCCTCGCCCAGTTGGGGAGTTAGTTTTTGTCGGCTGAGAAAAAGCCCCCCTTCCTTAAGGGGGCCCGGGCGCGTGGGCGGGTCTCCGAGGTTCCGGCAGCGTCTCCCTCCCGCCTCTGCCACCTGCTACGGGGGGGGGGGGGGGCGGGGGTCTCAACTTTTCTCCTAGAGGCGCCTCCCTCCTGGGCGCCCAACCGGATATCTCTCTAACACACATGGGGACGAGTCAGACATTCTTGGCCTGAGCTCGAATTCAAGCAATGCCTCTTAAAAGTTGGATGGCGTGGGGTGAGTTTCTGGAACCTTCAGTAGCCTCGTCTTTAAAATCAGAACACAGCACCCACCTCCCCAGGGGTGTAGTAGGTATAGAGTGGGGCATAATGTGCTAAAATCTAGCCGCTCTCAGAGAACTCACCCATATTGCGTTAGCCCTGCGCCTGTGTCCCTTAGTGTCTTGAACAGAGTGAACGGCGCTACTCTTCACAGGCTCCTCTGAACTGGTTCTGTGTTGTGCATACTCTTTCAAACCGCCAGCTCCCCAACATTGGGAGATGAGGTGAATTACGACTAAGGTGGGGGGAACAGATGAGTTCTGGTGTACTGAGGGGTGAGGTAGTGGTCTGAGCTGAAGGCCTTGACAGAGCTGAACAGGGAGTGACTGACTTTGGGGTAGGGATTCAGTGATTTAAGAACAAGGAGGAGATGACCAGGGAAGACTTGACCTTTCTTCATTTTTAGGCTATTCTTTCTTTCCCCCCTTTCTATTGACATTTTGGAACTGAGAATTACCTTTTACAGATGAGGACATAGGCCTAGTAAATGTTTTGGTGAAGGTCATGGTTAACTGTGGAACTAAAAATTGCCTTCTTTTTTCCCCTTTTTTTTCCTTCCTTCCTTCCTTCCTTCCTTCCTTCCTTCCTTCCTTCCTTCCTTCCTTCCTTCCTTCCTTCCTTCCATCTCTATACCTTGCTATCTGTTCCCTATTTAAACCTAGGAATGCATCAGTTCTGGTCAAGCAATCTGAGACTGTAGGCAATTCCTCACTTGATATGCTTTGGAATTGTGTTTGAAATGTGAATGTACATATGTCAAGCAATAGTCTTAAATGTGATCAAGATAAATCACTAGTTATGATACAAGTATTTGGTTTTTCTTCTTGAATATTGATCATTGTTTTATTCTAGTAAGATGTTTACAACATGATTTGTTTCATGTTCTTCCTGTATACCAGAACTCTGCTAGGTACTGTGGAGTACCTACGGTCTGAACAGATAACTACGGTCTTTGTTTTATGTAGATTAAATAAAAATAAATGTGATAATGTTTTTCTATAATTTTATAAAATGGTGTTTTATATTTCTTGATTCTGTCCCATATTGGAAGTGACATATATGAGCAAACATTTAATGTTGATGATTTTGCACAAAGTAAATGGAACTTTTTATGGTGTTTGTGCTTATATAATATCAACTTCTTTTGTTCCTTTGATAAAGGTCTCTATCTTACCCACAACTCTTTGAGCTCTTAAGAAATTTTCTCTGTATTCTTATCACTGAAATATTTTATGTTGCTTATCCATTTACAATTTAAGGATCTATTTCTTTCCTCCATTGCTACATCCTGCGTCTTTCAACAGAATCATCAACCATACCTTTCCAGAATTATGTTCTGAATAATGAATACATGCTCTTTTAATGCAGTCAAATATACAGTTAAGTATTGGATTGGGATTTTAAAAAATAAAACTGTCTTTGAAAAAAAACTGTCTTTTTTTTTTTTCTTTAGCCCTCCAAATGAGTTCTCCCTTTGTTTCAAGAATATTTGGCCTTTGCTTCAATGTTACTACAGTCATCTGGTAGCACTTTTATTTTTTTTAATTGCCCTTTGTTAATGAGCATTAAGGAGTCCACTTGTCATGATGATTAAAATAAAAACTTTAAAAAATTGCCTTTTGTTTCCTAGACTAAGGGTGGTATGCTGAAGTATTTAAGTAAAAATAGAAACACAACTATAAAGACATAAATGGTGATACTTCGAAAATAAAACTATTAACTGGCAGATTGAAATAACTGTTTGCCAACTGATAAGTAAAAGTATGAATTTACTATTGGAAAGACATGTTAGGGGTGCCTGGGTGGCTCAGTTGGGTGCACTTCCAACTCTGAATTTTGGCTCAGGTCATGATCCCAGGATAGAGCCTCAAATGGGGTTCAGGGCTCAGTGTGGAGCCTGCTTGGGATCCTCTCTCTTTATCCCTCTGCCTCTCTCCCCAGCTCATGCTCTCTCTCTCATT